ATCCAAAAGGATAACAAAAATCAACATATTGCATGATGTAAACAAACAATTAAAGAAAAACCGCAGTAGCTTTAATAATCAAGTGATGATAAATATGTTTTAAAAACTTTCTACTCTCAAATGATCAAAACTATAAAAAATCTGCACAACATGAATATTCCATAAGATATCACTTATTGTATGTTTCAATGGAGCAATTTGGAAGCATAATTAACATAACACATTTTATTTGACATCAAATTGTAGATCATATCTACAATTTGTCTACTATGTGTTTTTGTACTTATTCAATTTGAATAGAAACTAAAGAAACTTTCTTATTTATAGTTGTTTTTTTCTTTGGATTTGAGAAATCTACAATAAAAGACTAGGCGTAAATCAAGATTTGTCAATATATTAGAGCTATAAATTTGAAGAAATAAACATGAGAATCATGCTGAGTTTCTACAAATATTTGCCGATTGTGCACAAACCAATTTTCAGGGAGTTACTTATCTGATGGGATCCCATCAGAACGTAAATGGTGGCACATCGCAGTTTTTTACAATCAAGTTTTTAAGGGTTTTTTAAAAAAAACCTATGATCTATAAGACCACAAAAATCAGGTTTTATTTGGTTCAAATCAGGTATCATCAATATTACTATAATATTATTATATCCCCGGTGTTTGTATCTACTAGATACCAACTAAATAATTTGCCGTCTCGCTAGATAGTATCTAACGGGGCGGGAACTAGGCGCTTGATTCAGGGCCAATGACGGCTTTCCCAGTGACTCGCCTCAGAGTTTCTAGTTTCATGACTGATGATCATTTACCTCGGACTTTTTGTCGTCATTCCTCTCGCTCGGCCACAGAATCTTCAACTCATGATGCAATCGCCAGTGCTTTCATTCCTTCAAGCTAGTTCCAGAGTAGCTAGACCCGCCGCCACTCATTACTATAGAACTGGATGAATTTCAAGCATAGTCTGGATCTTATTAACGAATAATCTCGATCTGCCGAATACCAAGAGTGTCAAATGCAAGCAATGTAGCACCCTCGTCAATCACCACAAGAAGAGCGAATCCGCCAAGACGTAACTCAACAAGTGTCTAAAGTTCCGCATGCTCATGAATGGATTGGAAGATGCAGACTGCCTTGACTGGTTCGTCCGCAACAAGAAGCAGGTTGTTGTAGAGCGTGCAAATAGTAGCCAGGCCGCAAGCAAAAGCCATCAGAGTTCGATCAAATCGTACGCGTTTCTGAAGATGTCCAATGTCAAGAAACAAGAGTTTCAAAAGCAGATTGCCATGCATTGCTTTGCCACCTGCACCTCCTTCTAGCACATCAAAGACGTACATTTAAAGGAGGCTATCAAGATGCTTCGTTCTGATGATGGGTTGCTGCCAAATCGAAAGCAGCTGGCGATGTTCCTGCTCGACAAGTGCCACAAAAATCTGAAGGCGAAGGTTGACGCTGGAATGAAGGATGCAAAATCCTGCTCACTTCAGAATAGCATCTACACGTGATTGTCTCTGCATGTGACTTCATCAAGGAAACCGTCGCCCAAGTCAAGGAGTGCATCAAGGTCAAAAAAACTATCAAATATCCAAAATTTGTTGACCTTTTGAAGATAGTGATAATGGCTTCCTTCGACATCCTCATCGTTAGGTACCAATCCGACAAGGTTTCCATCTTGAAGGTGATGCTAGATTTCCACGCATTGCCCAAGCGGTTTTTGATGTTGCTCGTCGCCAAGATCATCAACAAGGACAAGCTCACCTATCTGATCAAGACATGCGTATGGCGATTTTAGTTGATGTACGGCAACGCACACGATTTGACCTACATGCTTGACCCACAATTCATTTCGGAGAAAATGCAGAGACAGAATCGTGAGGCGTTGGAAGACAATCAGTTCCGATTTCCTACTAAAGATTAGCCGCACAAGTCTGTCAACAAAGCGCGAGCGCAATTCATCTTCAAGCTATACACATAATTTGTCATTGTCGCAACCAAAGCGAAGGAGTACTCTATGCGCTAAACAATGATATCCAAAGATCACAAGACCATTTTGCAGTATTGGTTAGTTGATGGCAAATATTGGCCCAAGCTGCGAAGTATTGTCATCAAGTTCTTCACCATGACGACGTCCAATGCCGCCTCAAATCGAAACTGGTCGACAATGGGCTTCATTCATTAGAAGCTCAGAAACTCCTTGACCTCGAAGAGCATTGACAAGCTCACATATATCAAATGCAACTTTTTGGACTTCTACGATTACGATGTGCAAGAAGATGGATATGGAACCGATGATTGCAAAAGCGATCAGATACTTCCACTTGTCACTTTCATTTGATAAAGTCACTTTAGAGACATCTACATGTCAATTAAAAAAAACCTTGATTTATATCACCAAAAATTGAGTTTTATTGTACTAAAGACCCAAGTGATCTTGAAAACAAATCGGGTTTTTACCACCCCTGACGTAAATTGCTTGATGGGACCCATCAAGTTTTGTATTCCGGGATGGAACTGCACCGACGGTACACGTCACACTTGTTATAGTATGAACAAATGATGTAATGGCTCTGTCGCAACGCAGTGGAGCATGGCCACAACGCAGTGGAGCTCGCGATCCTCGATGTTAGATGTTCTGTCTCAAGGCAGGCAGAGACATGTTAGAATTCACCGGGGTGTGCAGTCTGTGGTGTCATATCGGGTAAAACAAAACTTGATGCCACAAAATCTTCCATTTGTTACTTTAAAAAACCCTCAACCTCCTAGCAGGACAGACTCACGTGCCATTGCAATTTCTGGCTGCGTATATGATACCCTCCTTGGCCATTCAGGATTTGGGCAGCCCCCTCTTCCCCTATAACGCCTTGCACATAAGCTCCAGGGCTTATTACCTCTCAAAGATTGAGGCCAGGGTTTTCACCTGAGAGTGTGACACCAGTCCGAGAAAATAAATCTTTAGAAGGAGAATACATAGAACGCGTTCACGATCTCGTCACGACAATTGACGTGTCGTGTTGGGTCAGCGTCTGCAGGCCTGGAAGGTACATCACCACCCTGATGTTCAAGTTGAGCTTCAGTTGAGCTTTGACTCACTAGGTCAACGAGAGATAGGCCCTCATACAGCGTCCTCCCATGTTTAGACTCATGTTGAAGCGATGCAATGCTCGATCAAGCTGTCTGGTCGTCAAGAACATGGCGTTGTCTATAAAAACATTTCTTTCACACAATAATATCATTATTGAACCTTTCTGGTACAGTAATGTCATGTTCCTTAGTTTCGTGTATTTTGACACTCAAGAACTGAAAGCTTGGTAGCTGCAGTATCTCCGCCTTGAGTAATGATCAAGGATTTATTTCTGGATGTGGCAGAAAGCTGTAAAAAAATTTCGTCTGAAGCTGGGCTGCTTGTATGCTCATTTGCTTCCGTGACAACTATAGGATTCTTGAATTGTTTCCTGAGGAGACTTGCGACGAAGTGCTTGAAATATGACCAATTGACGTGCCCATGACCTCCAAAAATCGAAGTGTTTTCAGGGAGTATTGGTACCTCCCTGGGTCAGAACTGAGTCCAATCCATTTAATGACAAATAGATTTGACAAGAAGGTGTTTTCCCGAAGTGTAGCTTAGAATTTAGTGTATCGTTACTTACTGCTGAACAATACTGTTGGCGGCTGTCAGTAGGTTTGCTTGCACCTTGCTTTCTCAGGTACATGGTGAGGGGGTTTTTTTTAGAGGAGGCTATGGTACTCCTATAATCACTGGATCTTCAGAAAAATAATTTAGCCGTATAAAAGCAGCGAAAGAAACTGAGCCCATGCGTATTAGATCCACGAAAGGGGCTAGCAGCTCGTGATTTCAGGGCCGCCTGTATTATGCTGAAACGTTCTTGATTTCGTTTGGTTGCGATTTCGTTTCTGACCTGTTCAGATCGACCGAGGTCGGTATTGGGGCATTCTATTGTCTCTTCGACTAAGGTGTACGCAAGAGTTCGATTTCCTAGTCGCCCGGTCAATTTCACTTTCCGAGTATCCTCAGTCTTCGTAAAGATTTAAGGCGGGTTCGAAGTGCAATCTGGAATCTGGAAAATTGCAATTCTCCACCTGGCCCGTACTCAAGGCACACAAAACAAGATTCGCCATATGCTTCGTCACGCGATTGGGAACGAACTCTTATCTGCTGACCACGAAATTTATTTGTGGTGTAACTTGTAATCATGGCTCGATCACTATCGATGCCATGATTAATGACCGTTGAGATTTCCTGTTTTCCCCTTGTTTCACGGCATGGACCTTTTCCTTTTTCGTCCAGGATCTTATTCGAATCCAAGCATCAGGGACGTGCTCGAATGAGAAGAAACGTACACTCAATAGATTAAGAAAGCTGATACATTGACATGAGAGGCCATTTGCTTGGGTGTGACTGCTTGATATTGACTTTTGATCTCTATGGGCAGGGACATCCTAACTGCTTGAATATTTTGTAATAGCTACAAACGGGGACAAGGCAAACGAGTTATGGTCGGGTTTGCAGAATTTCTCATATCACGTTCCCCGTATTTCCCCGTTGTGACTCCTGGCCTCATCGATTTCGATGATTTCGTTCATTTTCGTACGTGGAAGACATTCCACGTACTGCGTTGTACTTGTACCTTATCAGACAAAGACTGTGGGTGCCCTTGATAGAATTTGCGACACACCACCTTCGTTCACGTGCGTACTGAATGCTTACTTTCATATACGACAACGTCCTGGAATTGCGAATCATGCAAGTTTGAGTGCCTTCTACGCAATCTCTACTGCGCAGGATTCGAAACCCATTTGGTGGTTGTGAATTCTTATTGACATCCCTCGCACTCTAGACATTTGTAACTCGCATTCTAAATTATGGTCCTCATCACATGCAGAACGATCACTGATTTACTTAGTTGGGTCATTACATACGGATCACCAATCATGGTTATCTACAGATTGTGCCAATTCAGAGTATAGACATGCAGTGCTCATATAATTGACTTTTATTCTTGATTCAAGTACAGAAAGAACCATACTCCTGAGGAGTTCGGTCCATTTTACAATATTCACTAAAAGGCAAACGTCTAGTGAACAATGAATCTCTGTACAGAAGAGTGCAATAAGGCTTGATCGACGTAGTTTCGACAGATCGCCTGCATGTGTTGCGGAGGAGCCCATCGTTTCCAGGCCAAAAATCCAACTTGCTGCACGATTTCATAGATATCTGATCTAGAAGTCTGTGGTGACGTCTCTGCCTGGCACGCAATCGCTGGCGAGGCGAAGCGTTGCAGGTTCATCGTAAGGAAGTGATTGCTTCTTGATCTGTCCATAGTTCTTCAAGTTCTGGTTCAGAGTTGTAGCAGCCGCGCGATCGGGGATGGACAAGAGTGCTCCTGCTGCCTCCTGCAAGGTCACATTCAATATATCTGAAGTCAGGTATCATATCGATAAAATATGAAAAAAAATGGATATATCTAAAGGGCAGGCATGAGCTTCAAATTTGCAGACTCAAGCAAGGTCCTGACAAAGGCTTTATCTCGCAAATGTTAGTAGGATCGGGAATACGGACTGCGTAACTTTGATGAAAGAGAACGTGCACAGACTTACAAGAGTTCCCGGGTTTTGGCTGTTGAGAGCTGATAAGTAGAATGCAGTTTTCTTTCCGACATTGAGTTCGTAATGCAGCAGGCCACGGGGGAAAACGATGATATCTCCCGGGTATAGGAGCTCAATCCATGCCTTGCCTGCGGCACAGTATAAACTTACCATCGTTAGAATGTCCTAACAATGCCCTATTGTTTGCAGCTATTTCCTGAAATCATATGGGCACTAGATTTATGACCAATATGATGGACAATTGTTCCTCACACGAGCATGAAAAGCATACCAGCTGTGTCTACGAAGCCTGCTTGCAGCGGACCTCCACTCAGCATTGACAGAATCTCAGTTGCTCGAGGATGAGTATGTGGTCGATTTAAACCGCATGGTGTCATGTTGAATTGTACGACCGTAATCCCTTGGCTCCTGTAAATCAAAGGGAGAGTCATCAGCAAAGGTAGCTCCATGGGTGAAAAGATGATGAAGTTGTTGGGAAGAACATTTGATTCTCAAACAGTCAGAAACAGATAAAATTGTCCTGCTAGTGAACATGAAGTCATCATGAATGAATATCCGGCTGCCACTGGACGGATAGATGGTGATGGCGGCGTACTCAATAGCAGGAAACTTTGACGTAGACAGAGCAGCACGCTGGCCCCCGCTTCCAGATGAGACATCTGCATTTTTGAAGACACTCCGGATGACGAAATCGTTGGCGTTAGGCGAAACGTCAGTCAGTGGATCGGGATCGGCAGCTGCAACTTTGTCGATCGTCACGGTTCTGCAGCATGCAAGCACCAGCACAATCAGTGCCAGATTGCACGTCTTCATCTTCTTTGGTTGTAGCTACTGAGTGCAGTGGATAGATGCTGATTCTCTCAAGTGAAACAAAGTTAGCCTCTATGTTCTTCTCACTGTCCGACTCTTGGAGGCTGCACTGAAAAAGGATTGCAGATATTGAGGAATGATGGATTTCCAATCCACATTTATAAGTGTTCGAATCTGCATGTTCTGGGCTTCCCACAACGATTCAGACCCCAATTTCACAAGTCAACAGGACTTCTTCACCGAAGTCCCAGATCTTCTTAATCCTACAAGAATGACACGTGGGGAAGTGATACAGCACTGAGTCAAATCCAAGCGGTCACATGATTTGATGGACGAAGTCGCCACATTCTAAAATATTTTGCCTCTCGATACATGAGCCCAATATTCATATTAAGGATTGAGAAGTCCCACAAATATCTACCGCTGCTGTGGAATCCGGTCAGAACATGAGCTTTACAGGCAGATGCACCTCAGCTTTAGTTCCATACAAATCATGACAGACCAAGAAGAAATCGGGCTGACAAAACGGCAATCCTAGAAGCATTCATTCGGTTTCCTTCGTGTGCATTGACAATATTATTGCCTGACCAATAGAGCTTTACCGAGGCATATGAAATGAGATCTTTCATACCTCTCTTCTAACAACTTAAAAACGCGTTGTAAATCAGGGATAACAATTGACTCAGTCCTGGCCTTTTTGCAGATCAAACGTAGTCCTCGCTATCTAGTCGAGAACCTTGGAATTGAACAAGTGACATAAAAGTCCGACATGCAGCAGGAACAATCTGGAACTAAGTCGTTAACATCCACCATAGTCAATCATTTTGGCCCATTGCAATGCCATGGGTCGGTATATTATTGATGTCCTTATGGCTTGTTGTGCATTCTCCACGTCTTTTTTCCGTGACGAATAATGCTTGCGCGTAGGTCATTTCGAACCTCCATGTGAGTGACGATATATATATATATATATATATATATATATATATATTCACACGATACCAATTTAATATAGACGTTTTGTTTCCCGTTGTGAACTCAATTCTCCTTTTTCTTTGACCTTCAATTGGCCTAGAAGCTTACAGTATTCCTCAATTGACAAGCAACTTGATTGGCCTCTACACTCTCTCTTAGCAACTGAGCAAATATTTTTTAGTACCATGGCCTAAACTCAGCCATGTTCTACAGCTTGAAGTCTTTTTTTTCCCCACAGCAATAGACTATGATTTATTTTTATCTATCATCATGTATCTTTACTTATTATAGATAATCATCTGAATTCTTGATATAATATAGGATGCACAATATGTCTACAACATTAATTTTTCAGTAGGAGATAAAGTGAGAATTATGACATTCGAAGTTACATGCTAGTTGTACAAAATGTCATTTATATTTTTGATATATATTATCATGTTGAAGAGTGTACATAAAAAATAGAGAAAGCATTGGTATGGATTGATATACACAAGGGTCAAGATCAGTCTACACTTGCTTCGAAAGTACCAAATTGTATTTTATAAACATTGTGGTTATGTTATGCAACACTTTTTTGTAGAGTATATTTCAATTCCACCTCTTGGCATGATATTGTAAGAGCTTTGTAGTTTTTCATATCAAAATATTCAACTTCTTTTGTGGTATAAAACCTCAAAAAATATTTCTATTTTTGTAATTTTTATCATACTTCAACCTTTAATATACTACAAATGTATATTCTTCTTAATCTTGCATATTCAAAAAAATTTAAGGCTTTGGAAAATTTGTAATAACAACACAGTTTATCTTTCTCAAAATTATTTGTACCATCTTCAATTACGAAGATATGACAAGAAGTTTTATTTTATACTATAGCTTTGAAGTTATATAAAGTTATAAATTGTAACATGTTGATGAGAAGTTATACGACTGCCTCGAAATTACTATATGTAGATTACCAAATGTACACATATTTCTCTTTAAGAAACCAAATAAGTTTATCAATAAAAGAGCAATCATAAATATTATTCATTTTTCAGATAAGTTAATTATACATTTGGCATATATAATTAGATCATATCAGGTAAAATTTAACATGTTTTCCTTTTCATACCTAGCCCATATGAATCCTTAGGGTACTCGAGTGATGCGTTCTTCCAGTCCTTTAAGTTATAATTCTTGGAACCGTACTGATTGAATCTCTTCACAAGATGAGAAGTCTGATTTTGGCCGTGCAGAACGAACATGGTCGGGACATGCGACTGTGTATTCGTTGAGCCAAATTATAATGTCAGCTATTTGACAGTATCTGCTGTGGAGAAACTGGTCCCTTCCAGCCGTTCTCCGACAGGAATGCCTCCAGAACCATGGTCCCCTTGCGTCAGTCAGTCAACGTCTCGGTCGATCCGTCTCAGTAAGACCTAACAACAAACGTAACATACTATAGTCTCCCTGTCTATTCTGAAAGGAAAGAAAGACCTGGTTTGACTTTGTGGATCAAACAGTTGATCATGGAAAGCCTTGCTCATTCGTTCACATGACCGCTTTCACTCAGATTTAGGTTAGTCCATAACCTTTATATGCACGCAACAAAAAATATCCAAATGGTTCTTGCATATTGGAGTTGTGTAAAATATAATATTCACAACATATCTTACGTGTAATACTTACTGCAGAACAAGTCTGCCATATGCCTGACCTGAAGTTTTGGAAAATTTCATGCTTACGGAACATAAAGTCACATCTTGCAATGATGACCAGTTGAATAAATAAAAAAACAAAATCACGAGCTTAAAAGTCACATCTGGGAATTTTGTATATATATGAATGCCAGCTGTTAATGCATGTCCATTAACATCTACCATTCACGCACTGGACGAGATAGGAAATATATCACGGGAAATATTCTTTCGACAAACAATAGCTTTAAGACTATGGTGCATTGATAATGTATAATAAATATACAGAGCAAAAGATATTAGATTGAGGACATATTTCCTTTAAGGCAAGCACCCGTCGGCCTGAACTGTTTGAAAAATTTAAACAGCTTAATTTCATGCACAATAAATGATAAGCAAATTCGTAATAGCAACAATGACATACAATATTTGAAGTTGCTGGTGATTGAGACTGATGGTGATGGCAGCCTCCTAACAACACTGGGGAGGTATTGCAAGGCACACACATTAGCTTCAATATCTCCTCGGGCATCCGTACCTGAACTACACTGCCTTGAACTTTGTACAATATTATTGATGTCTGCGCTGAAGCTCGTTGTCTGTAGCAGGATGGACTTGAATAAGTTGGGACAACATGAAAGCCTAGTTGTCATAGAAGTAAGCCCAGTTGTCATAGAAGAGAGATATTGCTGAGAGATATTATAACACAAAAAGACGTAGAGTAACAGAAGAAGAGAATGTGAGGCTTTCAAATAGAGGAACTGGTGAGAGTGGTGTAAGTGATGACAGGTCATACGTACGGTGAGGCTAAGTGATTTGTGTATCAATACCTTACCGTTGATAAGAGGAAAACGTGAATTGATGAGTTTGATTCTTGGTCCTAAAGAGCAAATATTTTTTAAAACATCGAGGGCTTCCTTGCCTCTTTCTCATGCGATTCTTTGTACAACTGTCCTCCTTTTCGCTTTCACAGTATGAAATTCTCGAGAGGTTCATACTGGTTTTAGTCGTGCGGGTGGCCGACATTGTCTTTCGAAATAATCTGCGTAAATGAAACGCTGAATAGCATTGGTATTCCATACGGGATTTCGATGTGGGTGGAGTTAGCTATTCGACTCCGGTCAAATTGTAGACAACTATATGCAAGGGGTCCAAACATGATCAGAGTTAAAACGTGGCGTGATAAGAGGGGCAAGGTGGCAATGTCTTGTTCTTGTTTTTGTTCCATTCATAGCCAATACAACAACTAAGATCCATTTGAATCACTCTCTTTAGGTTGTTGAATAGGTCATTTTGAAGAGGGTCTAAAAGAAATTCTTCATTTACCTACAGATATCATTAGTTGGAACATTCTCTCGGCCTATAGCAAGCTAATAAAAGAAAAAGAGAGGAAGACTTTCAAACTGACAACTTGAAAAAACGTAGATATCATAAGAAGACAAATAGCGTTTGATTACAGAATCACCCAGTACATAGTTCATCACACCATCGAGAGCAAATGAAAGGCCCATGCTGAGAATGCACGTTTCTTAAGTTTCATACAATATATACATTCAAGATCACAAGATATCAATCACCGCAAACCTTCATACAAGGTGGTCTGAATAGCATTTTCACTCTCGGACTGGACAAGCTCCAAAAAGTACACTTAGTTCCCGTGCGGTTCCTTCTTTGCAAGATTCTACTCGCAAAACATCTTGGAACTGTTAAGGAAAAATGACAAAGCAGGATTTCGAGTCTAGAGATTGCCTGTTGCTTCAAAATTTTAATCTCTAAGCCTCTTTCTTCTCCTCCTTCTTGCTACCTTTGCCTAGAGCTTTTACTCTTGAGTAGGCAAATACTCCAGACAATGCAATCCCAGTTCCTGCAAGTGCATACAGCAGAATGTTTACAAAATCAGCGTTGATTACACAAGAAACTTTGACTTCTAACACCGCAGTAAACCTACAAATGAACGACTTTGTAGGGAAGTAATGAATGGTAGCATTGATCACAGAGTAGTAATGAACCAGCCTATCCACAATACTAGTTACTTCGTCACAAACTTTGTCCCCACTGTCCTACTATTGAGAAAGAAAAGCAATTTACCAAGAGCATTGATTGGAGATACTGGAGTCTTGAAAAAGAGGACTGATGTTACAATCACAACCACACGCTTGACACAATTTCCAACTGAGTGGGTAACAGGGTTCACTCTTTGAAGAATCATATATGATACCTGTGAGACAGAAGAAAGTCAGCATTCACAAAAAACAACATCGACAAAAAGGGATTTTGTTTTACAGAAACTTCGGTCACCGAGGACAAATATTGTGGGGATCAAACATACTTGCTCCCTACGTTTTAGACGCTCTTAGTGTATCACTGTATACATCTTTTTTCTTTTTTAGAGCCACATGACCATTAAGGTATGAGAATAGATAAAATCAGATGGTGAATAACGATGTTGTGAATTTACACGTGTAAGGAAAGTACATGCAGATCCATATCTTCCTCTGGATGTACCTGTTGATACGAATGGAAGCATAGTCCTGCCAGAAGAGCTCTCGTGGCGATAACCTTCACGTCTAAACCCTGTCATAGCCCGCATAGAACAGCTCGTAAAATAGGACAACCTTGAACAGCTAAGAAACATACGAACGCAGCAAACTCCAACATAGAATCACACGTACAGCATAGTTCACACATATTCTATATCGATCGGATTTACACGCAATCAAGGAACAGTGTATCTTTAGAGAACATACAGCTGCTTGAATGACGGCAGGAGTAAACTTGACTCCCTCCATTAGATACGTGACTGGAGCCAACAGGAAGAAAGACATAACCGTGATCACCGAAAATAAGTTAATGTTGTCCAGAGAGCCCTGCAGGTATAACCGCAACGAAAGGTGATTATTGTCCATCATTAGAAGGAGACAGCTCGATAGAATTTGTACTCATATCTCCACTTGTATGGTTATAAACGATATACATTCTGTCCCTGTCACTAACATTTAGAGAATAAATTCCACTACAGTTTCTTCAAGCAAACTTTCGTTCCATCACTGAATATTGAGACAAACGCAAATGTAGACATATTGCCCATCTCACCTCCTTCTTGACCATAAGCTTCTTGCTTAGGACATTTCTTGATTGGAAAGTTACATTGGAAGCCATTGCAGCCAGAAAACCAGCCCTGATGGAAAAAATTATACCCGTGTGATCAATATAAACAGCAGATCGAAAAGACGAATGATGGGGTTATGTTCCATCCCAATCTAAGGGAGAACCACTATAAGGACCACGCCTGACTCTTTACGTACGGGGAGGCCTTTAGAGAAGAAATAACCTAAATTGAACTATGATAGCTTCTGTCTCCCCACTACCTTGTGGTCGAGAGTTCCCTTTTTGACCCATTTCATCTGACCTAAATTGACAGCGAAGATTAGGAAAGAAACCTATATGAGATTCCTGATGGTAAGTCTCAGTAGTGATGGAAACCAGCAATCTTCTAAGTTTATTAGCACCTTGACAGCCTAAAGCTATACCTTCAAGAGCATGGACAAGAAGTCTATAGGCCTTAGAGGCTGATCCAGTTCTGAACATTACAACAGAAACTCCCTTCCTATTTTGACACTATTCTGCATATAGTTTATTAAACATTTAGTTTGGCAGTAATTCCACCTTCTCATAAGCATGAATTGAGTAGGATTACCAGTTGAAAGAAACTTCTGTCAATGAAGCAAGCGCCACTCCACCAACAATTGGTAAAAGAGAGGCCACCACCCAGGGATTTGGAACCTGCAGGCATCGCAAAGTTCATGAGTCCTTGTGACTCCATACAGAAGCTGAAGCAAAGAACATATTCTATGTAACAGCGGCTACCACAATATATGACCGGTACAACTTTGGACACTTTCCTCAGCGACGTTTCACATACCCCAGATTCAGCTTCAATACAGAACACGATGAGGGATCACGTCCACTAAACCAGATACGAGAAGCAAATTATTCTCACCTTTCTGCATATGCATGTATAACACGGATGGAAGAATTTCGTAGCAGAACATTTAGCAAGACACTTCTCATTTGCCCCGCAGAGGTCAAATGATATATACTGACTTAAAACATTCTGTGCTCAACAACTAATGTACTCGGAAAAAGTTCAGTCAAAACGCCTACCTCTCCCAAGAACAATGCCGAAAGGAGAACAGAGAAGAAGGGCTCCATGGCTTTGATCGTGTGGGTGAAAGAAACAGCGACTTTGCCGAGACTCATATTAGTGAATAAGTTACCCATTGTGTGCACAATGGCCAGCGGAAGAATGGCCAATAGCTGCAAGAAGAAAAGTACATCGAAATCAGTAAAGTTGTCCTTGGACTGACCAGTTTACTATCCCATCGCAAGGTTCAAAAATTTCCGTCCCACCACCTCTGCAATTTTTTCTGACAGACCAGAACAACATTGAAGTGATTCTAACTTGATCAGTCACAACGAGGTAGACATGAACTAGAATACCCAGACGGGTCTGCATACAATATAAATCTCCTGTATTTGAAAGCTATGCACGATGCTAGTATTGCGCACTCACGAAAAGATCAGGTGGACCGTGTAACGTCATACTAGACGTCAAAAACGAGAGGAAGAGCTGATAGATGTCGTTCATCCGATATTACATCATTTGAATGCTCATTTGAAAGCCTTAAAACTTTGTGTATGTAACTAGGCAAACAGTGGTTGCCTCTAATACAATGTGACCGTAAAGACCAAAGGATGGACGCCAAGTGACATCTTTAATCACGATACCTGAGAGGTTGTGATTTTGGGTCGTTTATGAAGACCTGTCAACCACATGATCATCACAATTACTCCTCCAACAGCAAACTGCATATTTGTCATTGTCACAGGGAAAGTGTACACCTTCAACACCTGTTCAGCACCATAGGAGGAAATGTTAGAGAGTCAGAGGAAAAAAAAGGCCTTGTGGTGGTCATGAAGTCTGGTACCACGGGACACATGGATTATCTAGACCACATTGCTGAGAGACTGGAGCAGGCAGGTGAAGTGATGAATACGCATAACATTCATAATGTACTCGATTGTACATTCGGGCAGTGATCCTACGTTCCTCAAACGATGACCGTGATAAAGCCGTGAAGAATTATGACGGTCATCGAAGAGTGAGATTAATTGCGCCAAATTGCGGGGCCGAAAAGCTGACACTATATTCCGTGGCACTATGCACGGCATCAAACTGAGCATTACTGAAGCTCCGAAATTCAACCAGCTTACTGGAACTGATGGTATATTGATGACGAAATACAGACATCTATAACACGATATCGATTCAAAACCACTGGAAGTTTTACAACAACCAAATCGCGTAATTTTCTGCACACAGGCAAACTATGTTTTCAACAACACCAATTTTTCTCACTCAAAACACTGGATCACTGTTATCAAGAAGGCCGGAGGAGCATGCCTGTTTGTTGTAGATGTTGAAGTAAATGTTGAAAAGATACCAGAGTCCGAAAAGAGAACCGAGCTGCAAAGTCTTGGCAAGCTCCGAGGGTTGAGCGGGGACCACAGGACTAGTGCTTCCATCGGGCGCAGCACCTTCATCTGCACCACTCTCTACTGCGGATGCCCTGACTACAAGGCTACCCTTCCTAGGCCTGCGCTCCTCGAGTCGAGAATTCAAGCTTGCATTCAGTGGAAACAGCCCCGATCGTGACACCGCCGGGCCACTCAAGAAAGAGCTCCCGAATTTGGAAGCAGCAGCTTTCGAAGAGAGCGCCCTACCATCGCGCCTGCTGACCGCGTAAGATGAGACGATACTCTTCACTCCAGAGGCAGAGGAAAACGCTGCTCCGCTCAATCCTGCACACCTCGAACTGCTGACGCAGCAGGCCTGCGGCTGCAACATCGCGAGAGCCTGAGATACCATCTCGATTCCTCCAATCCGTCGCAGACCCTTCTGCGATGGAGGCTCGATGCACTCACGCTGCAATCTTCAAAATCTGCTGCAAACGGACGGACAACCGCTTCAGCAGCAGAAGCTGCAGCGCCAACGACGACGACGAGAGTGGCAGCAGCTGAGGGAGGTCGATGGATGGGCGGGCGGGGGCGGGGGAGGATCATGGGCATCGATGATGAGCCCAGGCCAGCGAGAGACGAGAAACAGCCATTATGAGATCGAAAAGCCGGACCCGAAAGACGAGAGCCAAACCATCGCTAAAATCCTAATCACAGATTCGCTCTTCTGCTCTTCTGCTCTTCTGCCCTCCCTCCGTTTTGTCCCCGCCCTCGCCCTCCCCCAATTGCCACTGCCGACGCATACGATATTCGGATCTCTCCTGTCTGTCTGACGGCCCTCGGGAACGAGGCGCCCGTTAAACTGCAGCCCTGCCAAACATAGAGCCTCCATGGCCCTAAACAAAGCTGACCTGACCTGACCTGACCCTCCTTCCTCCCTCCCTCCCTCCCCCGGCTCAACTTTTTCTTCTCCCCCTCCATCGCCTCAAAAGTAGAGGTCGTGTTCGCACAGCGCCTCCATAGCAGTCTACAATTTCCTGTAGTGGTGCAGTAGGTGCGTCCTCCGGTTCATGGATCCGCAGCTGAGCCAATAATAGCGAGATTCATAGCCAGGGTTAGTTCTGAGTCCTGAGAAAACGTCCGAGAGTTCGTCCACATTCTGCTGCTGCCTTCTGAGCAGAGGCTGCGAGGCTGTCGAGCTCGGGCCATGGAGGAGAGGAGGGAGAGCAGGCCCACCCGGGGCACTTCGGATGGAGGACAAATGGCAGCGAGAACCTCTCTCCATCTTCGCTTCTTCGTAGTGGCGCCGCGGCAACCGGGGTGGAGGGCCCAACCGCTTCAGCGCGAGTGAGGGCCGTCGCTGCTACAGGAGGGGTCAAGTGAGTTCGACGGGATTCCATGTACTTTGTTCGAGCTGCTTCGGTGTGGAGTCGGTGACAATGCAGCGAGCGGTTCGGGGCTGTCGAGGGATTTCAGATTTTACTGATGGATGAACGAAGTAACTGAATTCCGGGGCCGGAGCTTGGAGTTATCTGGGAGTGAGTGTGTGACAGTCAGTGGGGGTTGAAATCTTTGCCCTATTCCTGCCATCACATGTCGACATCTGAAGCTTTTTCATCGACAAATTTGTCTGTCCCTCACGGGCCAATTTTGACTTACTATTCGCTTTCATTCGGACAAGCTTTTTAGCCAGTGCTTTGGTTCCTGCTTCAATTGCAGGCCGTACCTACAGATTATTCGATATCCTTTCACAGCAACCCAACGATTCAAGAGTCATGAGGGCCTTATTCACCGCACGTACGCATTCTGCAAAGCTCGGTTGCTAGCAGTTCACCTGGGTTCGTGCTCTTTACTTCTCCATGCATGGTAATCGTCAAAGCCCAGCTTTTGCTTCCAATTATCGAGGTCTTCAGTGCACGTGCCGCGTGATTGCCGCACTCCTAAATGTTAATCACCCGACGGTGGAAGGCTTCGGACATGTAAGGCGGACGCTGTTTCCAATTTTGTACAGTGTGTTTTATTCCAATCTCAGACCTTCTCCCTCAACGGAGAGTCTGAAATGCATGAGTCGCTGGCTGGAATGCATGCGGTGTCCTCGTCTCCTGATTCTTCTGCGTCAACTTCCTACAGAGCCACTAAACCATTCATTGAGCTGACCACTTAAGACTTAAGACAGATGCGATCAATCTCGTCATTCTTGGCCCCCATCGATTACGACGAATAGTTTTGTGAAGCAGTAGAGTGCAAGGCCATCCATCACTGCTGGTGCTCTACCTGAGGAGCAGATTTCTGTCACAGATCGTCAATGCTCGTCTTTCATGATCGGCACATCAATTCCGCAGAAACATGTCGGTCCTTAGAGTAACATCGGCATTCTGTTTGTGCGCCTATGATCCGGAAAATACTGATGGGCTGAAGATAGTGTTTGCCTATTTGAGGATGATGACCAACTCTTCTCAGCTCTCCATCACTTGTTACATATCTATGCCGTTCTCCTTTGGTCCTTTTCTGGAGTTGACATGTCAGTCGCATCATTGCCCTTGCTGCCATAGCAAATATATGACCGATGCACTTGAGACGAACCACGGCGATGTCAAAAGGATATGGAGTTTGAGCTATATTATCTTGAACAATCTCGATTCGATGGATAAAAATAATCGATTTATGAGCTAGTTACCGTCATCAAAGGCTAATTAGGTCATAATGAGCAGCTTTGAGATGGAAAAGGGTTTCGTGGAGCAAAAGGAAATATGCTCTTCGAGAATCGTTTGTCATGCCGACCACACATGGAGGAGTCGATGAGAGAAAGGTGGATCATTCATGAGATCGGTCGACCAGTGACTAAAGTGAGAAAGGCTCGCAGAATCTTCACCTCGCACCAGTCACATCGAATTGCAAGTATTTGCGAGTGGTCCACCGAACAAGGTCACATATTCAATTCGGAGGAGTAGCCAGAGCATAATCTTATCCAGTGCTGCAAGCATGATGTCACAAAGGTTCCTACTTTCCGATCATATTCGAACATATATTCTGCTCTCTTACACATCCATCAGTAATACAATATCAGTAGGAAAACCAAAAGTGCTCATTCCGACTCCACGTCGATCAAAGAATCATCCAAATCAAATCTGAACAAAAGCTGCCTCTCTTCTTCAGGTGACATACATTTATGAACATCCGATCCAATCTGAAGACTGTCAGGAATTCGCCTGCGAGAGGAAATGAACGAATGTTGTCAAAAGCCACCCGAACATCACAAATCAGTGGGCAAACCTACTAACTCATTCGAATATAACTCTGGAGATAAATGTCTCCTGCTGTAACACATTGTCCGTGATTTCTAGTTATGTAGGATATCCCAGTCGTATCGATTACAAATTTCCAATGTAGACCCCTTTGCTGAGGTACATAACATGACCACATTTGCATGGTTCATAGATCCCAAAAGCTCATTCTCCAAGTCGAGAACTGGACCTTACGATATATCACTCGTCCAACTTAGACGCGGAAACTTCATGCACATTGCTAGAACACACATTGTTTTCGACGCGAATAATCGAGAGAAAAGCGTGAAAGGAAACGGATACATGGCCAGCCCCAAGAGTATAACAAGGGGAAATATGTCACGTAGAATCTAACATATATAAACTATAAACGTCGACAAGCACAAGAGTGCCTTTGACTGATTTCCTAACTATATCGATTTCTCATGTGCAGCATTACCTAGTTGTCTCTCTATAACAATCAAAACATATTGACAAAAATAATCTACATCAGCAAGTAAAGAATAGTGATTTCTAGTGACTAGTATGAGAATACTAGTCACTAGAAGTCACTATTCTCTTTGAAGCATTAAAAATATGTTGACCGAAATAGTATATATCATATATTGAAAGATGTGTCTTCTATTATCTAATATTTTTATTGTAAATTTTTGCGAGATCTTCCTCGAATTTTGCATTCAAAATATTCATAGTTCAATCTACTTGGTAAAGAGAAAAAAGACATCAACTCTTCTTATGTTTATATACTTTCGAAGTTTAGTTCAGCCTGCAACTCTCGTCACTCAATTAGAAAAATAAATATTTAATCCAAACATAAATACATGTGTGAAGAAGTAAAAATAACATCTTCAACAATATAATATATCACACTCTAGCTCATTGCAAGTAATACCAATAGAAATATTAATATGAGGTGTCACTTCACGATTTATCATAAATTCTAGTTTTTGAATCTATTGCACTATCATCTATACTCAATCAAATGTATAGCTGTTGCATTTCACATAGTTTTAAATTGACATGTTAAGAATAAATATACAAGTAAATGAATTGTTGCGGTTAAGTCTACCAGTTAAGTCGCTACCAGCGGCCTCCTTTTCTAAAAAAAATAGAATGTATTAGGAGTAACCTTCTAATTCTAGTCGGCTGTAGTTGGTTGGGACTAGAGTTATTAAACCCTAGTCACTTGTCTGTTACCTCCTACGTAGTTTATCAAATTCTAGTCGGCTGTAGTTGGTTGGGACTAGAGTTTTTAAATCCTAGTCACTTGTCTGTTACCTCCTACGTAGTTTATCAAATTCTAGTCGGCTGTAGTTGGTTGGGACTAGAGTTTTTAAACCCTAGTCACTTGTCTGTTACCTCCTACGTAGTTTATCAAATTCTAGTCGGCTGTAGTTGGTTGGGACTAGAGTTTTTAAATCCTAGTCACTTACCTCCTACGTATTTTATCAAAGTCATTTTACCTTTGCCCATGGACGCAGTACTTCCGGGTGAACCACGTACTCGTGTGGTTGTCTTGTGTATGTTTTTGTGTTTATCACCGTCACTAGTAGGTAATTTTTGTCCTTGCTTTAAATCAAATCATTGACTTAAAGCATTCATTTTTTTAAAAAAAAATTTCTAAATCTTTCATATACAACTCATAATTGAAATTTCTCACTGTAATTTTCATGAAATTTTTTTATAAGAATTTCTATATCACCTGAAACTATTTTTTTATAATTGAAAATATTTCAAGTCAATATCTAGCTAGCAAGTTTTTTCAAATTTTTTTGAAAATGACATTACTTTTGTAAAAAAGTCTCATCTCTTCTAAACATGCATCTAAGTTGTATTTTTCTCAAATTCAAAATTTTTTAAAAAGATGTCAAATCACTCAATCGATTAGATTTTCAAATTTATAATCATATCACACATCTCATTAGCATTTCTATCATTAATATTTTTATGTAATTCAAATTGATATCTAAAATTGCATAAAAAAATAAAAAATGGTCTTAATTTTATTGATCAAACGGTTGATTTAATAAAATAAAGTTAGTCATTTTGATACTTAATGAAATTCAATCACCTACTAGTTGAATTGAAATTTTATTTCTAATCAAACAAAATAAATTTGTGTTATGTGACATAAAGAATATGATTTGGAGTTAATACATTATCAAAAACACATCTCCAAATCAATTACATTACATTTGGGATTGATGGGACGACATAGCACCCGGCCTACTGGTTCGCACACCCACGAAGGTGTATAGCATGTAGTTGTAGATAGGGCTACCTGGGAGTCAGAGGTACCTGACCGCCAGCTCAGGGGGCGAGTTGTGAAATTTAAGTGTGTACTCTCTCTCGCCTTATATGTGTGTATGTGTGCGTATGTGTATGTGAATAACATGTCAGCGATGTACGATGTATGGCGATACATATTCGCACGACAGCTGTCATGTAGTTTTCGGTCTTACTATATTTAGTAGTTACCTAGGGTTTCAGGTAGTAGGGTATAGCGTCGAATGAGACTCGAAGAACTTCAGTTCTTCGAGTCGAGCCTAGCGCGTTAGGAGTAGTGCCCGTGAGCGTCAGACCTGGAGTCTCCGAGTGTGGAGTGGGTTGGGCTTGACTATGTTTGTGACGGTGAAGGTTTTGTTTCCAGTAGGGTGATAAGACCGACAGGAATTCCAGTGGGGAATCTCCCGTTTATTTCATTTGTGACATTTGAGTGTGTACTCTTGTACACACTCAAATGTGATCTTGCACCTTATATGTGTGTATGTGTGCGTATGTGTTTGTGAATAACATGTCAGCGATGTAGGATGTATGGCGATATGTATTCACACGACAATCAAGAGACTAGAATTGACATGTGTCAATAGCAGAATCAGTCGCTAGTGTGACCTCTAAATATAAATCACTAAGAATCGATTCAAATTATCTTTTATCATTGTGAGGAATGTTTGATTTTTATTTCATCTTATAATTATATTTACTTTAGATTGAATGAACGAAAGACATATGCATCATGTTAAATATTTAACAATCCATCATATTAAATATGATCTGAATCACAATCAAGCATCAATTACACATAGAGAAATCTCATAAGAGTTGACTAACACAAATTTTTCGAAGAGACATATCATCCCGATCAAGCAAACAGAAAAACCCCATATGACTTGAATCTCTATTCTGAACTAGTGATGTTCTTGGAATGTGAACAATAATATATCCCAATAACAAGATTATTGCGGAAAAGTGCGAGAGAAGTTTAACTATATGATGATATTTTTTAAATCCAGCAATATGTAAAGTTGAATTCTGCAATATCCACATGAATTTGCTATCTTGTATACCTCATATAGTTTCCGTATGATCTACTCGTGATATCAATTGTTTCTTGTAGATCATTTAACATAATGGGGGTAAATCTTTGAACCTCTTCTTTTGTTGGAGTACTCATTTGGGGGAACTCTTAATCAACGGCTGAGAAGACGCTGAAATATACAGTGATCTGAATGTATATTTCAGAGCACTGGGCAGAAATCACATTGCGTCAACATCCCTGACTATCATCACAGTGCTTCGTATTAGTAAACAGATTCCCCTTGTCCTAACCAGGACTAAGTTTAGGGTTTAGGAGATAGGATACTTGAGTTTGAAAATATCTTTGAATGCTGAGATTCTACACCTAAGTGACAATATGCAAGTAGGTAAATATCTGTAAATAAAACTCTAAGTAACAAGCGCCATTCACACATAATGAATTAACATACAATTATATTTATTTATATTTAATGTTCTAAGCGTAGATTTACGGTAGTAAGTGGATGTTAAGGATTCTTCCTTACCTTTTTGACAAGCATGGGTTTTGGATGTATTCACATCCTAAGCCCAATAATTTCACATCGTAATGGACCACCTCTTTGGAATTCACCACTTGCAATAATAGATTAAATCAACCCACAATGAGTCAAGTGACTAAATTCTACCAACTGAGGCTGAAAACGATGTTCGTTGTCAGGGAAGTGGAGACTACTGGTAGTTTCGGAATAATGTGTTCCCGTTGGCAAGTTCGTTGATAAATATTTTTTTTACGAGGAGTAATGAAGTCCTTTAGGAAAACACTCAATGGGGCGAAGAAGTGAAGGCTGGGCGACCGACCGCATATTGATGTTTTCTCTGATGTACTTTCCATAATCCTTTAAGAAACATGTGATCATGAGTTCATCGATCATTCCGCCCTGGACCAATGAGCAAGTTTATGAGATGAAACCATAGCTGCACGATATAATGATGCACCCATCAGTTGTAAGATATTTAGTTAGTAACAAAAAATATGAAGGAGAAATGCTTTCCAACTGACTCCACAGGAGAAATCGTCTCGAACCCACTTATAATCTGCTTACCAGCGATCAAAGTGGGAAAAAGCACGATCCACAGAGATACTAAATATTATAACAGGAATGAAAGTAATCTATATGCCCCAAAACTTTCCATCGTACGAAAAGCGGCATGAGATTGACCAGCCATATCTAGTCTACAGGCTCATCGCTTGCATAGTCTTACATTGTCTTTTACAATGCAATGTGCAATTTAAATTCGGAAATAAAAATAAGAGCTTTACCGATCAGGTTGGTGGTAAAAGTTGCTGCCAACCTGAATCATCCATTAAATAGTACAATGCCATAACAAAAAATTCAAGCAGAAGACAACGACACACATTCCAAAAAAAAGTTCTGAAAAACAGGCTCATTCCTGTCCAATCATTTTACTTCTTCTACACACAGATGAAAATATCAGTTACGCGCTAATAGAAAGATTATAAAAACGCTGTTTCTAAAAGCTGGGAGAAAACTGTTCGTCCTCTTCGAAGGCTCAACGACTGTATTGGACCTTCATCTCAATACGTCCACCAGTCGCAACCATTTGAGAAGGGAAACTTGGATTCCAGTAAACGGACTAGTGGTTTTCTTGAAGTGCAGTACAAGAATCAAATCACATACTTAGAAATAGAACATCACAACCGCTGTGGGATTACAAGCGTAACACAAGGAAAGACAGCCTACACAATCAGAAATATTTAGAAAACTGATTCTTCAGCTGTGTCTCTTTCTCACTTTCCAAAGGAACAGGAACAACAAAGACATGATCATGTTTGAATCAGCTTTGTACTTGAGAAAAAATTATTCCAATCACTTAGACTCTTGCTGACGATTCAGTTAGCTGAAAATTAAACTAACATGTTCCAGGGATATGACTCACTACGTACATCGTCTGGAAATCAAAGTCTGCTTTAGCAATAGTTACATCTACAAAACGAATGTCAACAGCAGAGATCCCAAGCACTTCCGGTGCCACTACTGCTAAAATCACTTGAAATGAAATATTGACTGGAACGTTCCAAAAAAATAGTGAGCGCTACTTACTAAGAAGCTAAGTACAGTCAGGAATGGTGAGTCGTCTAGAGAAGCATAGCACCGCAATACTCCGAGAGAGTATTCAAATTCTTGCCCTTGTCAGATTGCCTTTATTGATGTACAAGCGAACTTAAATCGTGGTTTACTAGAAACCCGGACATCAAAGAACACCAAATGCAAGGAATCTCGAAATAGCACACTTTAAGGTCCAACAGATTCTGGCCCAAAGATCGAATGCCTGGTGTCATCGTGCTCATTGCAACAGGAAGGTGTACAGACCAGAATGCCAAGTATCTCATGAATCAAAGGAGGACCAATGGCGAAAGTGAAGGAGCTAGTGATTCCAAAATGAGAGGCACAACAATATTTCACATGGAATTGACCTATTTTACGTAAGAATTTCATGAACCCCTCGGTCTTGAGCCTCCAAGATACAGAGAGCATCACGAAGCGAGAAGGTTGCGCTTGAGTGTCAAGACAGTTCATCTCTGAATGATAATAAGCAACATGGCAAAACCCTTGCGATGTCCAAAATTCACCTCGATTTGAGAGGATTACCCACGTTCCTCGTCCTGTCCAGCTTATTCGGATGCAGTAGAGTCATCAAGTCTGCCAACCCTCTGATGTCCGATGGTTCCGTGATCTGTACTTCAAGCTTGGGAGGATTGCAGCTCCGACACTCATGTCAGATCTCAGACTCTGTAGTACCATTCCCAGACAGCTGATCTTGACGATGGGGCAAATTTTATCCTCTCATGTATAGAACTCATACTGCAATATTTTTTTCATCAATGTCGCAAAACTTAGAAGCTTTGAAAAGCCAGCCCAGTCGCCCGTGCTCATGTCAGCTTCACTGTCACTTCCTTCCTGTCCGCGCCGTACACCTCGGCATCCAGGCTCTTGGCGTAGACGTTCGACCAGAGCTCTTCCAGAGGAGGCTGGGGGCTCTCCTTGGCCTTCGCCAAAGCATCATCCACTGCCTTCTTCGCTTCCTTCTCGACATTCTTCAAGTCGGCAACGGTGGCGATTTCCTGCGCGATCAAAAGCTTCCTAATTCTCTCGATGGGATCACGTTCCTGTCGAACTCCGCTGATCTCGTCCCTGGTACGGTAAGTGCTTCCTGGGTCGGACATGGAGTGGCCGTGGTATCGGTAGGTATCGAACTCGAGCACGAAGGGTCCCTTTGCCAGGGCGTGGGTCTTGGCGTAAGCCACAGCTTGCTTCACAGCCAGGCAGTCCATTCCATCGACCTTGAGGCCGGGAACGTAGTCACCACGCTTGTAGTACTCGGGGCTCTTGGCTGATCTCCACTCGGCTGTTCCCATGCCGTAGTGATTGTTCTCGCAGACATAGATCACGGGCAGATCCCAAAGAGCAGAAATGTTCATGGCCTCGAAGAGCTGTCCCTGGTTAGCGGCACCATCTCCATACAGAGCCATGGTGACGCCGTCCACCTTCAAGTACTTTTGGGCGAATGCCAAACCGGCACCGAGAGGAGTTTGGGCACCCACAATTCCATTTCCTCCGAAGAAACCTCCGGCCTTGTTGTACATGTGCATAGATCCACCCTTCCCTAACGAGCACCCGTCAATACGACCCATCAATTCGGCGAACACTTCATAGATAGTACCTCCTCGACCCAAATGCGTGCAGTGGTCCCGGTAAGCGGTGATGATACAGTCCTTGGGTGTCAGAGCGGCCTCCATCCCCACGCACACGGCCTCCTGGCCATCGTACAAGTGACAGAATCCCCGGATGAACTTCGTCTTGTAGAGCGAATCGGCCGCAATTTCCATCCTCCGCATGCTGTACATGGTCTTGAAGAAGCCCATGAGCTCCTCGGGGGACGTCTCCACGGACAGCGACGGGGGATCGCATTTGTGCGCCTTGAACGGCGTGGGGATGTCGATCGTCAGGTCTCGCGAGAAGATCTTCTGATGGAACGCATTGGACAGCGGCACCGCGGCCTGGCGCGTCGACGCTCCCGCCAGCGACGCCGATTGCTGCAGAAGCTTTGATGTCCGACGCCAGACCTGCGACGCCATGGCTTCTCACTCACTCACTCACTCACTCACTCACTCTCCGTCTCCCTCCCTCGCTGTCCCTCTCTCCTGCTCTGTGCTCCTCTCCGCACAGAAGCCTCTGCGTCTCCTTTCTTCACTTCCGCAAATGATACGCTCCTGGGGCCTTCGTCTTCCTCTTCTCGGGCCCGGACTGGAGAGCGGGAGGAAGGGGACAGAAAGACAAGAACGCAAAACCTGGGAAGCAGGCGCAGATCGGACTTTCCTGTAGTCTTATAGGGTACGTGATCCCGCCAGTCAAAAAGCACGGCAGAAATGGCACTTCGTACAAGAACTTGCCTTTCGGGGCTTCCTGCCACGAGGAAGCTGTTTCGCCTCTCGTCTCTCAGACAGGCCAAAATAGGCACCGGAGTTCCAACCTTCCCAGACCCTGGTTACCCGGTAAGGTTCCCGGTGACCGAGCGAGGAGGAAAGGACTGACTGGCTATAGATCTTACATCCGTCATTGTCCCATCACTGCCGAGGGTACAACAATAGGATAAAACAAGAATTAGGGCCAGACGGCTTCCACTTATTCTCTTCTCGAACTGATTCGTTCTCTTCTAAGCAGATTCAGTGTATGGTACTGGAAGGCTGGCAATAATTGAAACCTTCACGAGCATAAATCCGAGAACACAGAACTGCAACGAATCCTAGTTGATTGTTTGATCAGCAAATTTTGTACGATCCCTGTCAGTTGTTCGCTAATTGTGCTGCGCAATCGAGCCATTTTCGATGGGGTTCTGCCGATGTTATATTTATTTTTGTATCCTGATATAGTGCAGGAATAAGCGCTCTATTCCGTGTGAGGTTTAACCATGTTAGGTATATTGCGCTGTTTGAGAACTACGCAACAACATTTACTGTAAATATGAGCAAAAAGTAGTAAAAAGAGGGAAATAATAATTCTTATTAATGGGTAGAACGCGGAGATGAGAGCGATGGGTTTTCAAGTGAAAGCAATTAGGCGACAAGAAAAGAAGGCCGAGCATGATCAGAACATGTAAGAGTGGAAGCCCAGGCCAGGGACAGATCTGTGCCACCTTCACTGCAGTGGACAACGGGCGCAGTCTACGGCACGACTGTCGTCGTACAAGAACATAGAGCTCGTTCGGAGAAGGATCGTGCCAAAACCGAGAGTGAGAGGCCAAATGTCCCCCGAGGCAAAGGAGAGAGAAGAAACAAAAGAATAACGGAACAGGAAAGGGAATATTATACAGAAAGTACGTCATGACCAAAATGCTCGTGCGCAGCCTCTTCTCCTTCTTCGGTCTGCCGCTGACCCAAACAAATCATGTGACATTCATTTTTCTCCAGTTGAAGTACAAGTGGGACCAGTTGGTGGTGCTGGCAAACCTAACCTCGCCCCTCGATGGATTCTTGTTCAACTCAAACTACGACCGATTCGATCTGACTATATTCGTAGGAGATTCTCTCGTAGGACATGCCATCAGCGAGACTATAACAACTAAAATTTCTAGCCACACTCTTTTGGTATGAGTCGTGAAAGGGATGGCATCCGTCCCTCTTGTAACGAAGATGCATTTAATCATAGCACGAAATGAAGATTCTATTATCATCCTTATGTCATAATTATGCAAGGCATGAGCGACATTATACCTTGAATCGGAGACCTCGTTCTCTATTAAATCTGCAGTAATGGTGAAATCGGTGATGTCTTAATATTTATAACTTTTTAGAGATGCTTTGTGATAATACATCAAGCTCCCCAAGATAGTTCTTGTACCGAGTCCGGTTTGACTCCGGACTGTAGGTAGCACGCACGCCCCGCCCGCCCCTTCACTTGGCCTTGCAGTCAAAACTCTGTAGGACCAGTAGCAAGCTGACCGCATCGAGAGGCAACGAAACAGCAAGGCTACCGTGCAATTTGACACGTCAACGCCGGGCCATCGGAGCGGCCACGGCAGCAAAGACAACTCCACAGAGAGCCACTTCAGCTCCATCTCCACCGTCAGATCTCCACTAGTGGAAGCCTTGGGCTCCCGAGACCATCCGATTGACTCGTCCGAATGCAGGAGACCACTAGGGAGAGACAAGTCAATAATCGGCAGTTTCAGAGGAAGAGAACTGTCCACCGCGGATTCCTCCACGCTGGACGGTGACCTCGCATCTCCTGCTCTTGCGATCACCCGTGGACGTGATTCCGTAGGCAGACCCGGGAGGGGTTGGAAACGGTCGAACGCCACCCCGCAGGATGACGTAACGCAGTCCTCGGGCCTATTCTCGTCGGTCGAAGTTCCCTCCACTTCCAGTCGCACAAACGTCCCTCGCCTAAATTTGGAGGCCCGCTAAATCTCTCGAGAGCCTCTTCGCCGGCGGGACGTCGTCGAAGCAGCAGCAGTTGTTAGGAACATGAGACCCCGAGCCTCCCCCCACACCCCCAATTTGGCGGCGCCTGTAACGAAGCTCCCCACGCTCCGCTCCCCCTGTGGGGCCGGCGTTGAGCGACTGGCAGATCGCGGTCCCCACCAGGAGGAGCCCCACTTGGACTGTTCCGCCTTCCGATCGCGGGAGTGTGACGTGGTGGTGAATCTTGCCGAGGTGGCATCTTGGTTGTACCGGTGCCATGTACCCCGCCTGCGGCGTGACCCCCCGGCGAGAGTTTGGTGGTGCTCGCCGGTCGTCGCCACGGGGTGGGTCATGTCGCCGGCCTGACGTTCCCCTCGCTGGTCCTCTCTCGGAAGAGCGAGCACTCCCGGAGAGGGTCGCTCGAAGTTGTTGCTCGCGGTGGAGAGAACCATTTGCGTTCCGAATCTCGACCCCTGAATCTGTCGGTTTGCCTCGTGATGTTATTCGTCTGTGGGTTAGTGTTCGATTCGATGCGTTGAATTTGCCCTCCTCGTCTGTCGTTGACGGGAGTCGTACCCGGGAGAAGGAGACAGGACTGGGAGTGGTGCGTATATGGGAGTGGACTGGCAGGCTAGAAATTGTCTTTGGTGCCCTGGACCTCTTGAGTTGAGAGGGAGAGTAGAAGAGCTCAGTCCCCGAGACATTGCAGCTGGATAGGATCAGAGATCGAGGAGCCATGCGTACGGGGTGGGTATCTGTCAGGGTCGCCTTCTCTGAATGGAAGGGGGATTTTTCGCCGAACATTCCCTTTCGTTTGGAGGGTTGCTGCCCGTTTCGTCTGAGAATACGCATCTGTTCGACACCTCTTCTCGACCTTCGAATCAACTTGTCGTTCTGCGGGCTGGTGATTGCTGTTTCAGGGCCTGTGGCCGAAGACCACTGGGGTTCGTTCAGTTGGCCTCACCATATTGTTCAGAAGAGGGTAGCGAAGAATACAACCGAACACTAAGCTCATGGCCGGCCGAGAATGTCCACACGGAACGTACCATCCTAATCCTACCCTTCAGGACATGAGCTCAGCCTTAACTCGATGAAATGACACAGCGTTTGTGTCTGAGACAAAAATGACATCCTGCCGATCGTCCCCCGGAAGAGCCAATGACAATGACAATATCCAGTTTCCCGAAGGCTGTAGAGATGCTGTGAAAAGCGAGATCTTTGGAGAGACCCCGAGTGACGTTTGTGATTATCAGTACAAGTACAAGGTGTGTGTGACATTGGTCCTTTCATGATGCAGAGACTGCAGGTTGGTCGGGCTCAGTGTGTTTCTATAGAACATGAAGTGCAACATGAGAGGGAGCTCATTCCAGTCCCGATTGGTTGCACTTTCCGGTGGCATCGTCACAAAATCCGTTCTTGTCGAGGAGTTGTTCCGGTGGTGCGCTGAGGAACGGGGCCGAGGGCGTTCCATAGGCATTCCGCCTGCTGTTTCCGCATCCCAGACTTTTCCTCGTGTCCATTCCCGTTACCGGGTTCGTTCCACTGGCATATTTGCACAGTGCCTGCACGCACGCATTTTACCAAATAATCAGATACATGTTGGCCTCACAGAAACCCTGGTCGGTCTAGAAATGAATATGGGGAGGCTCCAAGTCTTGCCTGCTTTTGTGGAAGGTCCAAAACTGCGTCACTGAAGTCAGCTCCCTCAATTATCGCCTTTCCGAGGTCGCTTCGAGTGAGAACAGCTCGGACTAGAAGAGCATCTGTGAGATCGGCCTCATTTAGGACCTGCAACAATCCTGGACGAGTCAGTGAGGCACTTTGCAAGAGATAGGTTTTGTTCATGTCAATGAGAAGCCAGGAGCAGCGCAGCTCCTTGGCCTGAAGCAAGTGTGATCTTGAGCAACCATCTTTGGTTGCACAAGACGTGCACCACACTTGCTTCTGGGCCACTATCCCTCGAAGTCAATACCGATGCAGTTGTAGATTTGGACTGTTTTCGATGGGCCAGCTGCTTCTATAAATGAAATTTCTGGCGACTGTTTCGAGCACATCTAGTCTACAAACTCACCATTCGGTCCATCAAAGTGTCACTCAAGTCGGCACCTGCAAATGACGAAAAGATTGAACCTCAGCCCTAGTAAACACGAATCTGCAAAGGCATTTGGTACGCAGTTCTACTTTAATAATGGGGAACAGAAGAGAAGACATGAGAAGGGGCACTCTTTGCGTGAACTTGCACACAGTTACCTCTGAAATTTGTCTTCGCGGCGACAGCCTTCTCCAGGTAAGCACCATTGAAGGGGCAGTTACTGAAGTCTGCTTCTCTCATATCGGCGGATGTAAAGTTTGCTCGACTGAAATTACCAATGGAAGATCAGAGGTCAGATTTGGTGGGAGTGGAGTGGGCTGCGTCAAGCAATAGTTTCGGTGTTGAGGATCTACGCCGGAATTCATGAAACATCGCTTTCAACCAAACGAGCCAGCAAGCTTCTCTAAAATCATCACTGCCAGCAAGGACATGCCATTTGCCAGAGAGGAGGTACACCAGAGTCCATATCTCTTCATCCTAAATTCACATACTAAAACCATATATAGTGTCATCCCATCTTGCGCTGTAATTTAGGAAAGAGGTTCCAACAGAGGGAGTAGTGGGTCAGAGAAGAGAAATAACTTACCGGAAATTCTCTTTAGAATGCACCGTCTTCCTGTTCGAGAGAAAGAAAATCAGCTGAATCAGAGAATGGCATCACAGACCCAACACAAACGGTGTAGGTGTCATTGCATAACAAATTACGAAAGGAGATGCTTCGCTCCCGACTGCTCAGGAGTTTCATCTCCTGATGAATTATGGGGTGATGAATTATTGCGCTCAAGGGAATTCAGGTGTGGACCTCAAATCTGCAGATCCGTATTGCGCAGCAGAACCCACTCCGAATTCTCCACGGGTGTCAGCTTCAAACTTGTTGAGCTCTGCACCTGCCTTCATCCCTGTGCCCAGGACCACTGCGGCCAGCGCTGCGGCCAGGCCCCTCTGCCATACCTTACTGTTGCTGGCATCCTTGTCGTCCGATCCTGCACTTCATCCACTCCGACATCAGAAACAACAATCACAAACCTCCTGACTGCTCCTACCACCCACCACCTGCGGCCTCATTTTTCCTCTCCACCCGAGTCCCCGTTATGTGCTGACCTCACCGCTCAGAGAGAAAAGACTCCGACGCAGCGAACACTGTAATTAGAGAATCCTAGTTTCAATCGCGAATTCAAGAGCAAAACGCTACTGCTCAGCTTCAGATTCCGGTGGAATACTTCCCCGACCATGTACTGTACTGGTCGCTTCGAGTTCATTCTAAAAGTCTGCTCCGTGGCATACTGCATCCAATGCAGCTCGACTGTTCTTGGTGTAGAGGTTTCTACTCATCAATTGACGTCTGTCTAGTCTCATAATCGGAACAAATCTTTCAGCTCACAGAGCACATTTTCATAATTGACAGGAATGTAGAGAGATCGAATCACCTGAGGCATCACACACGCAGGTTGGGAAATTCTTTGTAGATCTGAGGCTCCCATAGCTAGAGACCTGCAATTGTGGAGATGCTCCGAAACACGACGCGGAGGCGAGGTTCGAAGCGATGGGTGCAGAAGCACAACAAGGCGTCGACACAATCATGGCAGAAACAGACGCCATCGCACCGGGAGCTGCTCAATTCCGAGGCTAGGTAAGGGGCGAGCGCGCGCTATGGCTGTCAGCTGATTTCTGTTGAGCTCAGCGCTGGACAGAGCGAGCACGCGAAGCTGAAGAGGATAGGCTATATACCAGACCCGAATAAACAAATTAAATAAACAATAACTGGACAAAGAAGTGGATAGACCGAGCCGAGGGCATGGCAGGAACGAAAAGCTATGCCTCGACGTGGCGACTCTGAACACCTCCAGCTTTGGAGGTGTTCAAATGGGGGCAAACTGTCGTGGCAGCTGCTTGTTGGTGCTCGCCCTTGCCAATTGGACAAACGAGGTTCCTGACGAGACTCCAGCCAATTGGTGACTCAAGATATTGCCCTCACAGTCTTGCAGCACTTCCGGGCCCTTCGTACTAGCATTCCTCGCCCACAGGCCCTTTTCTCTCCGAGCTCTGCTCGGGCTGCGAGGGGTAAAATTTGCATACATGTCGCATGAACTCCTCTGCTTCAACCACCTGTCAGCTTTTCAAGCTTCGAGTTTCTCAGAGCAGAAGTGAAAGTCTCAAAACCATTAACTCCTTCTCGTTGGCATTCTCAGCCCGTGTGGTGTGCACAAGGTCTCCACTAAGGGTTCCCTTATACGCGTTAATTTGATTGCTCAACAATCCTGTCGCGATCTTGACGTGAAGCTTGTAACGAAGGTGAAGATGCTGGAGTTGGTGTGTAGAGATAATCTCATTTTATACATGTTTATTAACTTCTCGACTGTCCCTCGCGAAGTGCTTGTATTGATGTGATAAGCTATGAACTGGAAATTCATAGCTTGTGCAGATCACTCTGACAGAAAAATTACTCGAGCTCCTGATGATCATTTGCTTCAGAACTAATTTTGACAAGCTCGTAGAGACACTTTCCCTGACTGCTCCGATGACTCATACGTCTGTTGCTACTGATGGATTCGCAAACTCGACGAAATGGTAGCTAGAATTCATGCGCGAGAGAGGTCAAGTTTAAAAAGGCCGAGTTACCCGCAGGTCATACCTGCCATTTCTCAACAACAGCCTTCATGGCTTTTCTCAGCTTAATGGCTGCAGATCTGAGCTGTGCTAGCCTTCATCCTTCTCGTCTAGGAACTGAAACAGCATTCAATAAAACTTGTGACAGAAAAATTCTTGAGGCTGTCGTGTTTTCGGATAACGTAATTAAGTACAATTTTTTTTATGTATGGAAACAATTCATGCCCTTTTCATCAAATTTGGCATGAATCTACAATGAATGGAGGGATATTCTACAGTAGGTGGTCGTCTAAACCGTTCTTCTCCTCATCTAGGTTCTAATCCTTGGTAATCTCCCAGTAATAAGGCGACAAAACACAATTCTCCGTGATTAGACTCGCTTTTTAGTCTACCCCTGTCTGTACAGCAGCACTATTTCATAAAAATGAACCAACTCCCATTATGTGTAATTTCGTCAAGCTTGAGCTGGATTCGGTCGCTTCCAAGGCACAATAAGCTTGGTACCGTGACAAGACCAACAATTGACATCGTCATGAGTAGTTTCTAGTTCCGTGCTGTCACTTGCCTCGCATGGAATTTCATCATCGTTGTGAGTATCATTTCCATGAAACCAGTCTGCTGGAGAAACGGACCTTTCATCTGCAGCAACATGTGACCAGAGCCTTCCTCTCTAGCACATCTGGCCATGCAAACAGACGCTGGCTCCCTTCTACCTTCTGACCCTGAATAGCATTTGTCAACCCCATGTACTCTTCGAAGGCCCAAATTCCGGGTATGTTATTAGCATGGAGATGTAATCGTGCCGCTTGTTGTGCTGTATTACACCCAATTCTTGGTATCCGAAAGCCAATCAATACTGTTACAAGGCAGGCCTGCAGCATTCTGATAGAAGTCCGTGTTGAGTGAAAATCAGTCTCTAAGCTAGGGAAGACGAATGTCTGGCTACAAAATTCACCACCGCAAGGTTTATACGTGACTGATCGGCACAGGTGCAGATGAAACATGTTGACTGGTGCTACGGTGGTTCTGAGATTGCGATTGAGAGAGTGATCGTCGAACCTCCCTTGCCTGCTCCCGGGACAAAGAACTGTGACTGATACCATAAGTTGCATAGAGAAGCACACCTAGAGTTAACCATATGCCAACTCGCATCCAGGTGCCTCCCCTGCAAAGAGCACATGAAATCATGTTAGCTACTTGTGGAATAAAATGATCTGAGTTACGAACAGGCCAAGTATTCCAACCACCATGATGAGTTTGGTGATTGGACTATCAAATAGGCTGACATCTGCAAATTTCAATCAACAGGTGTCGTGAATATATTCCAGACACTAAACCTCGAGATCATACGGCTGAATGTTTTGAACTTCCTATGATGGACGAAGATAACTTCCATTCCTCTCGACTTCAGGAAAAGCGTTATGCGTCTTAGATCATCGTCGGAATTCCTGAGCTTAGAAAACAATATTTAAACTTGAACCGCAGGGTGGAACCTTACCCTAGATTTACAAGAAGATACACGTTTATCAGAACGGAAGCTACGGGTAGAACAGGAACCCAAGGGCATTGGAAACCTGCAAAAAACAAGAACCAACATCGGTGTCGTTGTTTCAGCTTGAGATCGGAGTCATGTTACGCTATAAAAACAGAAGGTCAAATAACATTGCCTGATAAGATTTCGACTCAATATTACTCCGAAAGTCTCACACCCAGAAATACAGATGAAATATATAATGAAGTGTATCAATATACTCTATCTGTGCTTATGGATTGTCTGAAAGAACCATATACACTCGAACAGAATAAATAGCGAGTGCTCGCAGAGAGGTATTCATGGATCCAGAGCTTCCCAAGAAACTTGCCTACCTCGTGGGAAGTGGAGGTAGTGGCAAACATGTCTAGAGCATTACTCGCAAGAGTGCATGGGAGAAAAGGCAATGCATCGCTGATCTTACGCAAAAATGATATGCCAGTAACGAAATTGAAAGCAAACAATCAAGTCTAGAACTGCAATCAAAGGAGGTGAGAACAAAGCTACTCGAGAAGCATGTTATGACCACTATAACGCAGTTGAATAAGACATGCTGTTTCAGAGAATTGACGTATGCAGGACAGAATGTAGGTACTTACCGCCTTGAGCCCCGAATTTGTTGCGACCTTCGTCTTGTTCAATGAGACCAAGCACTGCAAGACCACCAAGAATGCCGAGTCCACCAAATCCAGCCACTGCCCACTGGAGGTACCTGACGATTCATGCCACAATTCAACAACATTAGCTCCATACATTGATCAATCATGCATAAAGTATTTTGGACTCGTACCTACAACTTTTACAGGGATCATCAAGGAAAGTAAACTCGTTGTCAAATTCGAATTGTCTTACCTACCCATCTCCACAATGTGAAGTATGAGAAAAAAATAATGATTGACATTTGTGGAAGTTAGTGATAGCGTATGTACAAACTCACTTACATGTTGTTCTCAAGGCATACAGATCAAAACAAGTATTGCTGCAAGTAAATGCTTTGGTTCAAGAATTACTTCGGAATGGAGAACGACACAGCAAGACTGAATAGTATTACACCAATGATCACGCTTCCAATACCAAGGGCAGCAGCCCAACGCCTGGCCTCTTCTCTTGTCATTTCTGCAACGAACGACAGTGTTCCGTAAGAAACCGAAGCGAACGTTGTTCCCCAAGGCAAAATACAGGGTACCAAGCAGACTACGCTTAGTTTCGTAAGACTGCACATACTGACTTACACCCACTTTGCATAGTCTTGTTGGGTGTAGACTACTAAGACTTTAGTCTGGTGTTTCGTTCGAGCTTCTGAACCTCGAATTGAAAAGACTAGAATCCATGTTTCCTCAACCTCGAAAATCAAAGTCTGTCATCTACAAGTCTGCCAGGTTCATTAAACAGTTCATACAAAATGCTGGTAGAAGAAGAAGTGGCAAACAACAGTCATACATTTCATCACTGGGGGTAATTAATTTTTTATCCTGGTGAAATCATACGCTCATAACATGAGTATCGAACTTACCGGAAGTAGGTTGTTCTGAATCACTTGAAGGTGATGCAGGTAATAGTTGTTCTTGCGTTGAGTCTCTGTTCACAAATGGTGAATTTCCATCCCTGTCTTCACGGTGATCATCTTCGAGATCGGAGTCTGGGTCCTCGATGTTTTGCAAGAACCCGGGCAGCGAATTTATTGAAGATTCCGACAACAGGGAGAAAACAGGAGTGAAGTAGTTTCTTCTGGCAATCATCGACACCAATGTTGGTTTCGGTGCAGCCATTGCTGGTGTTGCACCGCCTGTTGCAAGCAGTGGCTGTGTTGAAGGAGGGAGTGCAGTAGGAGGAGAAGCGTTACGAGCCGACACGTCCGTCGGTGATGCGTACCTCAAGATCAGTGTAGATACCCCAACAATTGTGAACGCCAAAAGCGTACCAACACTGACCTGAAATGAGGACACACACAAAGCCAGGTTGCGATATGCTTTAGCCCTTGTCCAAACTAGTGAGTTTAACTGAGTTTCCGAGCTGTCAAAAAAATAAATCCACAATGTAAAATTTCCATTGGAGTGGACGTGTAAGCCACAATACAGCTCGTATCCAGAGTCTAAGCTGCAGTAAAATCTGTACCATTCCGGCTAGCTGATCGACGTCCATCGAGAAGGCCATGATAGATGCTGCCAGTCCTGAAATCAGCGTTCCATTCACTGGTACTTTTGTGGTCTTGTTGACTCTAGAGAAGAATTTGGGCAACAGACCGTCTCTGGCCATAGCCATCAAAATTCTGGGCTGAAAGAACAAGAAACATACTATCAATATTCAGTCTTGATTATTGATTACGAAGGGATCCCAGATTGCAAACCGTACCCTAGTTTACGTTTGCTTTAGTACAGCCGTCCTTCATTGCGACCGTCTGTGCCCACAGGCTTCACTCTACCCACCCGTCAAGGTACATTCCAAGGTTCAAGGAGCCGGAACACAGACGCCTAATTCTCTAGTAGCAACGGAATTTCATCAGGCATCATCAGGAACCCGGAATATGTGTCATTACTAAAACTTGAGAGTAAAATTTTAACATATATATAGGACATCAGGCACCTGGCAGTAAAACTAGGATTTTACAAACCTGGGGAAGGAGAGAACCCATCAAAGTTGTAGACAAGGCTGCTACTGCACCCGCAGTTACGATATACCTGAGCAGACACGAGAGCAATGCACCAAAATTCTCAAATCATCCCAAACTTTTGAAGGAAGATTTACCCCCCGGAACCTTTTCCCTTCGAAAGTAAAGTATTCTAACCAATAATATAAGATCAAAGAAACATGACAATGCACCTCATGGCAGCTGGAACTAGGAAAAGAGCAGCCATGCAAACCAGAACTAACGACAATAAGTGCCATGGGTCCCTGCTTCCTGAAAAGAAAGTGTGAGAAAATTTCTCACATTGCCCAGGGCATCCCATTGCTGGCGAATGCAGTTGACATTGGCGTATCAACATCCATCATGTTGTAAGGAACGATGCCCACGATAACGAATGATACCACCATGTACAAAGTACTGCAGACGAACAGTGATAATGCGATACCCAAAGGCAAATCGACTTGCGGATTCACCACCTGCACCATAAATTCATTCAAACCTATTAAATTATTGAAACATGGTTCACACGCCAATTCATTTCAAAATTTTGTAAGTCATGGTAAGCATACATTAACTAGGAGTGCTTCTGTGTCCGGACCCTAGGTGTGAAAACAATGCAGCTTGATGACTCCAAGTACTAATAGTTACAGCTCGTATGCACTCATACCTCTTCAGCAGTGCTTGCTACGGTATCGAAGCCTATGTATGCAAAGAATAGTGTGGCTGCACCTGCGAGGATCCCATTAGCTCCATACGGAAGGTATCTGCGATACGACAACATGCGCTCAACGATCAGTTTGGTGAGCAGAGCAACAAACAAACGCTATATAACTAAATTGCTACTATACCTGTCGAATGCCATCAACTTGCAACTCGACAATTGCTTCCCTTGGTTAACAATTTAGATAGACTCATCTCGTCAATTGCAAAGGTCTAGGTCTATTGGATCCTTCGTTGCACAACATTTATCCCGACATGAAAGAAAGAGAAGAAATTTGCAAGATCAATACCCGCCATCGGTGTTATATCCCTGCCAGCCAGTTTTAAATCCAGTGTATCCACCTGCTCCGATGATAAACAAAAGGACCAGGACATTGGCACACGTCATAAAAGCCTGCACCGCTGCACTCTGCAAAAGCAATAACTTTCTTACTTAGGTGAAATTTACAAACTCGGAAACTCTGTTAGCTCGTGGATAATTGGCAAATCATTCAGAACAATTGCCAATTTTAAATCTCCTGAATGCGGAACCTGCTGGTGACCTTCAACTGACAAAATCGCTTTTTCAATTAGTAATGAAACATCACGATGTGGTTCATGGCTTTGTGGATTACCTCTCGGATACCGACACACAAAAGTACGGTTACCAGCAGGACGAGGATACCAGCACAGGGATCAACAACGATACCCCAAAGCTCTCTCCGAATCAGCCACTGTGGCAAATGATCCGTTCCACCAAAGAAAATTGCCTGCGCAAGCTCAAAGCGTGAGAATGCATCCCTTGAACATTCGCCCCAAATCCTCACTATTGTAAGCGAACAAATGTCAGAGTAACGGGGCTGCAGGCAGACTCACCAGATTCGGAGATATCCCCCGAGCGACTGTGGAGCCTCCGACGGTGTATTCTAAAATTAAGGCCCAGCCAATTACCCAGGCCAATCTGTCGGTCGACACAAAAGCGGCTCAATTAGACAATCGATCTAAACGAATCGAATTCTAACCGCAGGTGAAACACTGAGCTTCACTTGTGTGACAAATATTCACGAGGACAGAATATCGAGACAGAGATGCAACTTTTACGCGTTCTTAATCGTCGATCATTTCATACGACATGTCGATGGGATAAGCCACGCCCTCACCCGTGGAAGATAAAACACAAGAGCACAAAATCTGGCCCCACAAGACGTGGGAAAAAAACGTGAAGAGAGCCCAAAAGCCAAGAGAACTTACCCCTCTCCCACACATGTATATGCATAATGGTATGCGCTGCCAGCTGACGGGCAGCGGCTGGCCAATTCCGCATAGCAAAGAGCTGACAGAGCAGCAGCGATACCAGCGATGAGGAAGGAAAGAGGAAGGGCCGGCCCTACTTTCTCTCTAGCAACGGTTCCCACCAGGACATAAACACCAGCACCAATCGTGGATCCAACACCTGCCACAGCACCAGAACAACTCGTCAGTCAAATCACGCATTGCAGACTCTTCCCGACCTTGCTCAAGACTTACAGTGTCAACCGCCGCGAAGATAGACCGAGCGAATTCCCTTTCACACGGAGTGTCAATCGACCGAATGAGCGAGCCACGACATTTATGGAGTCTCGACTGACAGGCATGTTCGGTCAGTGCTGCCCCGTTTAGAACGCCTTCTGCTGCTTGAATGATGCTGGGATTTTGCGCTGTGCCTTCTCCTTGAATTTTCACTATAAAGGTTGCCTGTGGACATTCTCTGTTCATATTTTACGGCTATGGCTACGTGTCAGCGAGGAGAGCGGAATCGGAAAATGCATCGGACTCCAGAGGGTGATCGCTGAGCACAGTAAAAGCGGACAACCCCCATTCGCTCTCGGAGCATTCGAGCAGAAGATTTACTTTAGAGAAAAGAGGAGTCGCGCTGTTATCTCTCAGAAGGAGCGTTCTAGGATCGGAGGAACTGTTTGATCGAACCGATCACCAGAAGGAAAAATATTGCGAATCTCCTCCCAGACTTGAATATCATGCCGCCGCTGATGTCTACTCGTCACCCATGACTTCCCCCATCCATGTTCCAGAAAGCACCCCAGCTGCTGATCTAGCAAATGCTGGGATTACTGAGATCAGATGCAGCGAAAATTGTCAACACACTATTTTCCACTAAAATCCTTCAGAGATCCCTTGACTGCAATTCCCACTCGGCAAGATTGCCGCAAGATTGGGAAACGAATGCGATAAGATGCCAAGTGCAGTACGAAGAGCACACTCATTCGCTTCCAAGTCCCTCCACGATCCCCTGGATTCGGAGTCAGGCAAAAATACCAAGCTCGCGAGAACGAATCGAAGCCGCGCGAGCGTGAGCAAGGCAACGAGAGAGGGTCGAGAAAAGTGAGAATGTTCTCGGACACGACGATCGATCGAAGGTATCTGAGGAAAAAACGAGCTGAGACAGAGCAAAATCTAGCTGCAGTCGGGAGCCAGACAACGATGCTCCAACCGAAGTCCAGCACAACGATGCAGATCTGACGTAAATCCAGGCGAGCGAAGCTGAGAAACCACACGCGGCAGGATGAATCGTCGGAACCTCGAGGGTGAGAAGGCCTCGAGAATTCGGAGCAGATTCAAGTGAGAGAGGAATGAAGTTCGATATGAGTGGCAGGAGCACACACACCTATGGGAACGAGCTGAATCGCTTTCAGATGTCTAGCGAGGACGCTCTCCCTTACGTTATGGAGAGGCTTGCGCCTCCAAACTTTGTTCCACATATCCATAGTCATGTTGCACTCTGTTGTGACTCGTTATACAATAAATTCTGACTTCTTCCCCTCTCGAGGGTGGAAGGGGAAATCTTAGCACCCCAGGACTCCGATCTCTTCCTCTTGGCGTTCTTCTTCTGCTTCCTCTTCTTCTTCTTGTTCTTCTTGTTGTTGTTGAGATTGAGCTTCCTCTTCTCCTGCACCTTCGTTCGCTGCTCCTCACACTCACTCGGCTACCATCGGACCCCACCCACGTCTTCGCTCGGCCACGAGCAGCGTCTCTCCATGGAACCCATTGGTGGTGCTGCTGATCCGGCCAAATTCGGGAGCAAACCTCGGCTGCTTCTCAAGGGGCGACCATAATCGACAGATATACGAGGAGTTGAGTCGCCCCGAGGGCAAAGGACGCTAACCTAGCCCTTGGGGATATGAATCAAGCATGCGCATAAGCTAGCAAGCAAGAGACGCGAGGCCTCTGCGGTGGAGCAATCGTCAGAAAGAATACGTTTAAGTGCTGCTAATGAGAAACTGCTGCCGGGCACATTATAAAGCTGCTCGCTGCCTGCCTGCGCACCCGGCGCCAGGTCCTCTCCCCCGCCCTGCTCCCTGCCCCCTGCCCCCTGCCCTGCCCTGCCCTGCCCTGCTCTGCTCTCTGAGCGAAACGAGTCGTCTGCACCACCCTGCACCTCGGGGCCAAACCACTGTGCAAAAGTTGGCTTGCCAAGATTCAAGCGAGCCACACGCCACGTGATTTCGTGCAGGCCGGAGAGAGAAAGAGATACACGGAGAGAGAGAGTGAGGGAGAGAGAGAGAGAGAGAGAGGGAGAGGGCGAGCGAGTGAGCGAGCGAGAGGCAGGCCAGCCAGGGCAGGGCAGGCCAGGGCATGGCAGAGGGAGGAGGGGGCAGGGCAGGGCGAATTCATCCCCCACAGCGCATCAGGAGGAGAATTGTCGATGCAATAAGACAACCGTGGGCCCCCGGGGGCTCCAAGCTCCGCGGGTCGACGTGGACGCAAAAAGTGTTCCATCCAGCCATGGACCCCCCCACCCTCGTACCCCCCTTCGCTTATCCCGATGCCCCTCCTCCGTCCCCCTCACCTCGACTCCGCCAACAACGTTCACACAGTCCCCGCGTCCGAGAGACAGGCCCAGACCGTCCGTCCGTCCGTCCGTCGGTCGCCATCGCCGAAGCAGTACCGGTCGTACAGGGGCGGGCACCAGGAACGAACTGCGTTGTCGCGAGCAGGGGACTGCGTGTGAGCGAGCGAGCGAGCGAGCGAACTGCGTGAGTGCGTGCGAGCGTCCGTGGTGAGGGGCCTGGAAGGGGGAGAGTTATGATCAATCATGAGGAGGGTCGTTGACGAGCGGAACATGTGTCCGCCTCCTTCGAGGCGGATTTCGCTGCTGAGGGCTCGCGCGCAAACAGGAGGTGAGAAGAAATGGCCGAGGCAGGCGAATGTGCCTCCTCCGCTCGCTTTCTGCTCGACGAGTTGATGGTGTCGACTTCATGGTGTCCTGCCGGACCGCTCCTACAACAAAAGACAAGGATCGCGGTGACTATTGGCAGGCTTCGGCTTTTTACCAGCCCCGTCCTCCTCCTCCTCCTCCTCCTCTCGTACGCATGTAGATCTGAAGATCTACATGCGTAGCCACAGTTGATCCACCTCTGACGCCGCCCTCTGGAACGAAAATGTTTTCGTTTCGCGCAGTGGACAGAATCTTACCGAGCTCTCCGATCTTACTCACACCAACTTCCGAGGCGGACTTCATGATCCACACGACACAGTCGTTGCTTCATCATGCATCTATGGCTGTGAGGTTTGAACAGGCGGCCTCCCTTGCAGAAGACGGCCCTTTGAGACGAAAGTAGCGTGTTGGAACAAGGGCCGACGACGTATGTATGTTCGTTCTCCTTCATGTTGCTCTGGCGGAAAGTCCTGTGGGTTGGTTCCATCGGGGAATCAACCCAGGACGACGCAATATCTGGACTATCGATGCTTAGTCACCGACGAATTCCGCACCATGGAGTCAATCAAGTTTCCATCGATATCCAAAGTAGTACCTTTGACTGATAAGACGATCCCACCAAAAGTCAAAGATCGGTTTCTATAACTTGCGTTTCTATGCAACAAGGTCCAAGTCGCTCAGTTGAGGTACCAGGCCAAACCATGTCGTCAGACCTTCTGATTGGCAATATAATGAGCATGCTAATCACGAGGGTAGGGGGAGGGGGAAAACTGGGTCCAGATATTGACAGGTCACAGAGCCAGCCTCCCTCCAGTCCCGGACCGAGACCAACCGATAAGTCTCCAACATGTGAGCGCTGGAACGGGCCCATCCCAGCAACTTGACCATCGCTGCTGCTGTTCAAGGCAAGAGATGGTGTTCGCGGCAGCCCTGGGAACCCAGCTTTGCTTCCAAACATGTGACAAAGTACACAGCAGCGTACATGGACTTCCAGATGGGCACACTCGCAGCTTCCGAAACAAACCAGACCAGCAGTAGGAAATTGCCGAAGTGACTCCGACCACGTGAATCGATCGGATTCTCGGACCCAACATCCGGTAAAGTGCAAAGCAAATCAGAGCCAATTGCACCCCAAAATAGGTGGAACAGGCTTCAGGGCTTCGCGGCTCCTCCCTCGCCCTGGCGGACCTCGACGAGAAAAGGCCAAATTTAACCGCAGCCCCAGGAATTCCAGGCCGCCCTTCGTTCTGCAGGTGAGTTCGAACACAACCATCGCCCTTCTCCTCCTCCTGCTCCTGCTCCTCCATCTCCTGCTGTCTTCGGTGGGCTGAGAAGACAGTAGCTGTTCCGACAGTTCCGGTCGCCCCCCTCTAGATCCACCGACAGCTAATCTCGAGCCTCCCCGATTTCATTTATTTCTTTCCGATCGATCGTTCTCTCTCGATTACCCGCGTCCACTTACTCATGCAAAATATGCGTTTACTGCTGATAGATGCATCATGAGCTGATTTGACCGGACGAGGCTGAGCGACTTTTTTCCCCGTCTGCCCGCATGCGACACCCTGACGGCCCCGCCCCCATGCACCCTGGAATTTTGGACAGTGCACGCGATGTCCTTGTTCGCTGCTTTACCGCAACCAACAAACCAGTTTTTTTCTCCTCCATCGCCAACTATTTATTGCACTCTACGGGGTCCCATGACTCCAATCTCGTATGGGTTCCGGTCATGTGCCTGGGACTCGACGCAAATGCCATCCTCCATTCGCTTGCAGGTTTGTGCAGCGTGTTGTGGACTTTACGTATTGACTTCCTCGGTGCGTGAGTTCCGAAGACACGTTAGTAGCTTATGCATAACTTCAAGTTTTTACTAAGACTTACATGCTTACTGCAAGAATATTCGGAGATTGTTTTGGTCGGCTTTTTTACTTTTTTTATATTTGTGATTAGTTTTTGTGTGCTTGATCTCTTCATAAGCAATGATTACGTAATTATTATTCGATGCACGTGTCTTGTTTTGATCCAAGATTTTGTTACTGAATTCCACCGCCAAAAAAAAATTAGTATCAAGTATAGTGCATTCTTAGATATGGTCAAGTCTGTCATAAATTTGAACAGACAAAGCCATATTTGAAGATGTTCGCTCAAATCTCATACATAGGCTCCCAAAAAAAATGTTAAATCAACTTTTGCTCTTTATGTGACAACAAAGTTGTACAATGATAGACAGTTTGTAAAAACCTGATATTAGTTACCCAAAAAAGTAACCAATAATCATAATATTGAAGGTTAATTGATGAGTTGTACATCTTTACGTGTTACAGCCTGCTGATGTCTGAAGGATTGTAAAATGTATCAAAAAAGAAATGTATTAAACAACTTTACGCATGTACCCAAGAAGAGCTTATGCTAAACTCAGAATGTTAAAACTTCACCTCCTATAATCAACAGAACATTATTGTCATACCGACATTTTTCTATCGCTTGTTAAAAGATATTGTTTTATTGGGATAAAATAGTTCAGGACTAGAATTGATGTTAATCAACGTGAACTGTTTCTAGCATTAAGAGACTATTCATCAAGATATCAACTCGATGATTTTTGAAAATAGAAGAATATTTCATTTATATATATATATATATATATATATATATCGAGCATGGTATAATCGGAATTTGTACATGGTCTCGATGAGTTTCATCGACTTGCATGCGTCATTGAAGAACATATCATCATCAGACACTTTCATTTAGACTCCGATGCAGCTCACCTGGAATATCATTGTGCAAGGACGAACACCGAGAGAGTTTGATTTCTTGCTTTTCGAGATTCTGACACGACTCTCGAACGTGTATCATTTGGGCACGAGAGCATCCACTGACGAGCTCAGCGTGGGTGACGAAAAGACCGACCTCAACGTATGCTAAATATTCCGTCCACCTCGATTTGAGTCCGCATAAAAAATTATGAGACCTCGGCTTTTAGCTTCCTAGGCTCATTGAAAATCATGAGCATGTGTTCTAAGGAATGTTTGACGGAAAAGCGAAATTTCGTGCTGGGATCTTCACACGCGTGCAAGTGGTCTCTGCAGCTTTGAATGATGAGCCTAGATTTTGAGAGGTGGGGGATTTCTAACCTCTGGGGAGCGGATGATAAGAGGGTCGCCAATGTCGCAATCATGTTCAAGCATCGAGACGATCAGTGAACGGAGCTTTTAGCAATATGCTACAACATGGCGTAGCTTTGAAGGGCTTGACAAAGAGAAGGTGGAACTCTGGACGAAGGATTTGTGCCAGGCTGGGTGAATGAGGCACGGAGGGTTGAAGTAGCTGCAGAAGTGAGTTAAGCGAGCTTCGAAGATTGTTCTTTAGCTTTGTGACTTGAGGGACGAGTGGGATGTAGAAAACCTCTTCTTGTTCCATGAAGAGTCAGTCACCTTACACCAAGTAGGCTTAGAAGTTTGATATTAGTTTAACAATTTGATATTAGTTTGCATGCTGAAGGACCAGTGCAGCTACGTTGCTTGTTTGCATAATCCTATGGAGATCTGGTTCCTAGGAAGACAATAAGGAAGTTAAATATTGTACATCTAACTTAGTGCATCAACATCATCGAACATCATCTAGAATGGTTCAAACTAGACAAAAAATGCTGTTTATATAGGCTTCGAGCTAAATGCTAAGAATGTCATCGTAGCTTAAATATTTTAGGCTATGATGCCATTTGAGCTATGATGCCAATTGAAACAGAAGCATCACCACGAACAACTCCTGTCAATTTGAACGTAGCAATCATCATTAAATAGTACAGAATTTCCAGTGCCTTACATTTGAATGTTCAACGAACAGTCAAAAGAGAGCATGTACACATGTTTTGAAGATTTAATCAGTATTTGCTACTAATTAAAATCATCTGTGCATAGATAAGAATCGTAGTCCTTAGGGTCAGAAATCTGCCACTGACAAGCAAAAGCTTTTTGATACATACTGTTGGATAAAGAAACTGAAGGAAACTCTTAAGTCTTTGTAGGTCTGCTGGATGTAGCCTCACTGGAAGGTCACATGGATCTGACGTAAGATATTACTGTAGAATCTCAGGTTTGGTCTGACCGTCAAACCGTTTGATACTAAAGGTCAAGTCGAAAACTTGATGCCAAATGAACTGCTGGACCTATAAGAGGAGAAAAAGTCAATATCAACTTTTTTAATTGAGGGTACTTATGTTTCTTCTCCCCAACCACCATCTTACAAAACATCGATGAAGACTATGATTTTTGAATTATGAAATAGAATTGTTGGGACTCATGCAAACGCGAAAAAAAGAGCATGGAATTAAAGAGCACGAAGAGACTATTCTTTTTGCACTAAATCGATCTCTGTCCTCTTTCTTACCTGATCGTACAACCAATCTTCTACAGATGAGTATTCAGAATCAAGACTGGTGAAATTCAATCAGGATATCAGTCAGAGAGGGTCACTCCAGATAATCTTGATAGAGAGATTCCTTTCACGAAACTAAGAGTTTTTTTATTCAAATGTATGTGATTTGTATAATTGGTCTGTGTTGTATAGAGCCACTGTCCTCATGCTCAATGATGTCACTCATGCATGCTACAGCCTACGATACACTAAGCTGGGGACTATTTCGTTTTTCCTCCTTAGAGAAGTGTATGGAAGCGAGCATAGGATTCTCATCCACATATTTGATCCAATTGAGGAAGAGGATCAGAATATAGAGCAAGTTATCCTGAAGATGAGCATGTGGGACCTTGGAATACACTTAGAAAGGCAAATTATCTATTCACATTTATCTTTCTATCTTCTTCTTTCATTCTTTCTAAAATTATTAGATATTGTTTCATTAACCCAGTTCCAGAAAAGATGGAGCCAAGTGGATTCACATCTACACTTCAAATTTTCCGGCTTACGATTCTATGCCAAGGCCAATATGCGCGACAGTGAGATTAGTCTATCTCGACTAACTAAGCATAATCTGGCATGAGTATATGAAGTAGGAAGTGCAAGACCTAGAACTTCGACGGGATTAGGATATAAAGTGCAACTGATACGCTGAATAACTCATATATTATCATGAACAGCTGCTGCAAGCGTTTCTAGATATGAGGTTGTTCTGGCTGGAAGTGGATGAGTATACTATGGCAGTCATTTTTATCAACATGTGAACAACCCAAACGGTCAATAAGAGCATGGGATATTGAAACAGAATGCTCAACTTGTGCTTTGATCATGTAATTCAACGACCAGCCTGATATATGTACTCGTATGTTGGATTCAAACAATCAAAGAACCAAAACTGGAGGTTGAACTCTGATTCTCTAGGTGAGGAAGTTACCAAAAATCCAATTTTCTTGATTGAGCTAAGGTTAGCAAGCTATGGATACACATCGAGCCCATCAGTCGCTGGTGATACATCTAGAATTACATCCTAGTCAATTGTTCTGAATATCAGAAATATATATTTATCGATGTGTGTGGTGTGTCTGTAATGTGGCACAACCTTGTTTCCAAGTACAATGTCCTTCCTCCTTACTAGCAGTTGTTATAGGATGGAGGTTTACATTCGCCCTACGAGACGTGTGTATCACCTCGTTGTTGTCAGTTCCCTGCTACCTTTTATTTCCACGTAGAAAGAAAAGGATTTGCCATTTCCATCGTTGAGTACATGGAATGTAGTCGACCGCTCACTCTCTCATACAGTGTCAAATTCTGCAAAGATGATCCCGATCAGTCTCAGCCCTCGATGAAAAATACCGGAATGGCCTGCTGGACTTGCAAAAGCCTGGTCCTCGCCTACGAGAATGGGCATTGTACGTCAGATGGCCCACGTAAGAAATCAAAGTCGGCATGAAGTAGCCTCCGGTGTAAGGAACCTGCAGTGGACTGCTTTTCCACAACTTCGCTGGAGATGACTTGGATTCGTGATAAAGCGGACAATTGGATGGACCGTGGACCATGGCAGAATCTCGTCCACGCCCAGTGTCCTCAAAAGGTTCTGAGCTGTGATCTTCGCAGAAGTAAAAGAGAAAAGAAATATCGTGGAAGGGAGAGGTAAGTTCCAGAGTTTGTTACTCGATATTCCAGAGAAACGATGCTTCACTCGTTTAGATTCCTGGGAGGTCAATGCTCTAGCTCGGTGGAATATCTTGCCCATTTCTGCAGGCGCCTCTACAAATGGAGGGATTTGCGGGCGCGGTGGGACCTTCAATCGCTTCTATCATGAATCGAGCCTTTTTCCACGGACCTCTGCGGCCCAAGCTGGAAGGGTCCGAGTGGCTCGACGAGAATCCGGCTCACGTAAACGATCCTGGCTCTACAGCAGAATGTTCCAGTGACGACAAACGGAATGCTTCTTGTATCTCGCTGCTGCTGCTTGCTCGTTAAGGAAAGAAGGTCGGTGGTATCTGCGCAGGAGTGCCCAATTCGTCGAAGTGTTTGTCGTTTCGAGGCTCGAGGAACTTCTTCGAGGGAGGAAGAGTGTATTCCCACCTCCGGACCAACGGATCCAAATGGCTCTCCTAGCACATCACGCATGATCTTCATTACTTCCCCTTTGGGGGGGCAGGTCTTTATTCGCCTTTTCCATACTGTTCGATCTCTTCGTCTTTGTTGCCATGGCTGCTCCCGTGTGATCACCGCAGATAGACGTCGTTTATTCGTTGAAGATAAAACATGAACGAACGCATTATTATAACACAAGATTCGGGACGAGCCCCTCGAGTCCGACATGGACGAAACCGAATGTGTGGAATGGGCTAGTCCCTGATGCCAATCACATTATTTCCATACGTGTAACATCTCAACTGATATTCTAACCATCTGGGTCAAAGCAGTTTGCATTCGACACATCTTCTAGAAGCCATGATTCATGTGCTTGCTCGCTTATGGCTTGCCATATC